GTGTGTGTGTGTGTGTGTTTGTGTGCATGCTCTATACGAGGCTGGTCACGAAGGTCATAAAGAGGAAGTCCTTGCGGTCAGTCGAAAGGAACACATGTTTTGCTCCATGTCATAATCTGGGTCCTTCATTTTCCTCTCCTTCATTCATCTATTCTTGCCTTTGACCGTGGTGGAAAACTCATGCACTGTGTCCAGTGGGTCTGTATGTATTTGTGTGGGTGAGCCTGTATAGAATATGGAATGAATGTGTATGTGATGCTATAATGACGTGAAGTCTGTTTGGTTTATTTATACCTTGTTATGAAAGTATCCATCACCCATTTTCCCATAGATGGTAAATATGGTACAGTCAGGGTCGACGTAGGCTTTCTGCAACTTCAATAACTCTCATTAAAAGGAAAATGTTAATATCTGTTTTTTATCATCCAAATGACCTTGTTCATTTTCAGAACTCCAGTTAGCCTTACAAAAACTGAGACATATCAAAATGAGGTGTTTTGACTGACAAGAGGTGGACAGGTCGTAAGAAGCTTTGCTTCTGTTTAGAAAATTATTAATTCCTTCATTTTTCATCTCTTCTTTTCTCATTTCTCCAACACATTTTTACATTTCATCCTGGTTTCTCTGTCCCATCCATCACCAAGGTTCTGACAAATTGAGACGCACAAGTCTCATTGAACACTTCTCTGCATGACTGATGCTGCTGTGCAAAAAGCCTACATATGCACATTTCACATTTGCCGTGTATGGGCACTTGTCTCTCTATCTCACACACACACATGCATGCAAACACACATGCTGAGTGTGAGCAATGCAGTATAATAAGCAGCGTGGCAGAGATGTGGTCAGCGTTGCCCCATGTGCAATCGTTGAGAAGCCACATCAAGGCTTCTGGGTATTAAAGGACAAGCCTTAGTTGGCTGGGAGGGAATCTGTCATGCAACAAGAAAACCGTGTTTTTCACCCTAATTTCCCTCTTTCATTTCTTCTAGATCCTTTTTTTTCTCCCCTCTTCCCAAGTTCTGTCTTTTACCAATTTCTCTCTCTCTCTCACTCTGCCCATTTTTTCCCTCTTCTTCATTTCCTTCATTCTGTGGCATATTAGACTCAGTTGTAATACTCTCCAGCTTAAAATGCTCAGACCACTGGAATGTTCCGTCAAAGAGGTGGGCGGACCCAAGGGGGCGGGACAGACCAACATAACCAATTAAGGAGGAGATTGAGGTAAGACAGACAGCTTCTAAATGGTGTAATAACAACCTACTAAAATGTAATTACAATGCAATAGCAATAGACACTTCTAATGACAGGATGTATATGCCAATGTGATTTCCTAATTATGAGCTTGGCATAATGGGTAACTGTTAACATGGCGTGGAGATTATAGAGAGGTGTCTGAATGCAGAAATTCAACCACAGGGACTTGTAGTAGTGTTGAAGGACATAATGGCCACTCAGAAGACCTGCCAGGTATTGATCAGCTCTGATCGGTTCGTGTGTTTGAGAGTGAGGATGCAAGTAAATTGAGCTGGTGAGAGCTTGAGTGAGTTGTGTTATCAGATATTATGTTCGTCTGTTCTTCCGTCCACCATCACAGCTTTGATTTGTCTAATAAGAATCTGTCTGGCTGCTGATTCAAGGTTTTGCTTTTCCTTTGACCTATTCCTCTTTTGGTTCAATGCCTAATGTCCAGCCACTCTCCATGTGTAATTCTGCCATCTATTCATCTATTCATCCATCTATCCATATATCCTTCTGTCCACTTGTCCATTTGTTTATCCATCTGTCCATCCATCCATCCATCCATCCATCTATCCTTCCGTCCACTTGTCCATTTGTTTGTCCATCCATCCATTCACCTATCCTCCTGTCCACTTGTCCATTTGTTTGTCCATCTGTCCATCCATCCATCCATCCATCCATCTATCCACCCATCCATCTTTATCCCTCCATCCATCCTTCCATCTCTAACAAGAGGAGTGGATGGTGGCGTCCATTATTACAGAGCATCCCAGAATAGAGTCTCGTTTTATTACAAGTCCCTCTGGTCGCCGTGGCTACCCAAATTACAGGCCAGCCTTCTCACACATAAAAAAGGTTGCGCTGCCGAAAACCAGCCACCTCAATAAAGGATGGATTAGAAAATCCTTTGCTTTTTTCCCTTGCTTTCCTTTTTGAAA